GAGGGATTGTGAAGGGGCTTTCCCTGCCTCTGACTAGGACAGAGTGGCGGTCGGGAAGGCCTTGCGGTTGCGCTCCGGAAGCTAGATACCATGTGGCCCACCCTCTCCTCTCGTTTCTCTCGCCAGCAGCTGCCCAGCTTCAGGCCCGTGGGACCCAGCTGCTCTGTGGCTCAGAGAGCCCTGAGAATCGCCTTGGCGTCCGCTCGCCGTTCTTCAGAGCCGGGGTTTCACTGTCTCAGCTGGCACGAAGCTCACGGTTCCGTGGGCCGTGTGGATTTGACGCGTCACATCACCCGCGTGCATGCGGGTGCAAGAGAGCGTGTTCGGTGTCCTGAGAGACCGGCCTCACCTAACTCCAGTGTGCCTGTCCGGGCTGGCCAGTGGTGTGCCCGCGGAGCTCTATATGGAGCGGGGCCCGATGCTAGGTGGCCCCCCGTGTGGCCTTCCTCTCGCTGCCCGGTCACTCGCTGCTACCGCCTGGCTCCTGAGAGTCCCCGTGGCCTTCCTCCTTCCTCGTCTGAGTCTGTTTAATTGGTTTTCTGAACCGAGCCTTTCTTCCAAGCAAGAAGTCTTCTCCATCATCCTCTGTGTCTAACTTACCTACGGTGATTCCGTATAGGTCTCCCCATTATTCCCCGAGGACCCCGTTCTAGATCACCGCTTATTCTGCTCTCAGGAGCTCTCCCTGTAGCAGCTCTGGCCGGTGGCCAGCCCCACCTGCTCTCCTCCGGGAAGACGACCATGCTGAGGGGCACTGGCTTTCTTTGTCCTCTGGGTGCCCCTTCCTGGTCCGTCCCCCGATGTGCCGTGGTGCCGGTGTCACATCCAGACAAGGTCCAGTCTCTCTCTGTCCCTTCCACTTTCTTCTGTCCCATCACGACCTCTTCCTCCAGCCTCTGAACACTCACTCATCAGCCTCGTCTGGAAATTTCAGACAAAGACAAAGCGTTTGAAGAGGACAATGGCTGTGCTTGTTGCAAAGGCTCAGAATAGGCCATTGAAAGGGTAGGTTTGGTCAGGAGCCCAGGAGGGTAACAGAGAGACACACGCACACGTGCACACATGCACATGCAGAGGCCCCGTCTCCCTCTCTGTTGCCACTCTCGGGACAGTGGTGGCATGAGGGGGAGCCCCGGGAAGAGGTGCACGCTGGCCTGTCACAGCTGTCCCTCGCGCGTGTCCCACAGGAGGCTCCTTTGCCGTCCCTGGCACGTGGTTCAGCCCTTCCTGGGTGACCCAGACACGGCCAGGGCGTCCCCAGGAGAGTGGTGAGAAAGGCCCACAGCGGAGACATAAAGGAAAACTCTGACTGCAGAAGGTCACCGTTGCTTTGGGCTCCACCCCGAAAGCCTCCCGTAAGGGTGCCCCCTTCGTCTGGTGGAGGGTGGCTGTGAGAACGTGTCCTGTGGACCCTCAGTCACTGCTCTGCGCTGTGGGCCACCGCCTGGTTCAGAGGGGCCATTGGCTTGAGCAGGTCCCGGCACGTCGCAGCAGACATGCATGTTCTCAACAAACCCCCAACAGTTTAGAGTCAGTTTAGCAAACCAAAAAGAGCCCGCGTTCTCTACCTTGAAAGGCAGTTCCCCTGATGAGCCAGACAGTACTGCCCGGCTGCTGGACACACGGCGGCCTGACCCCCTCCCGTGTCCTCACACTCGAAGCTTCTGAGCAGCCTGGGGTGGGGGACTAGGGTGGAGCGCACAGCTTCCAGTGCAACCCCAGTGCCCCAGCTCTGGCCAGAACAGAACGCCCAGTGGCCTGGGGAGGGTGCGTGTGCTCTCATTCATGTGTGGGCCTGGGAGGAGGAGGGGGTCAGAAGCTATTGGTACTGTCATCGTAGCGAGCAATTTGTGGGTTTTCTTTTGGCATTCGAGGGACAAT